GTGTTCAAGTGGAATCGATTCGTCCGGCAACTGCACTCTTGGTGGTGATAGCGAGAAATACACCTTTGAGGCCTTGGGGTGCATCGCGGAGGGGCAGTTGCTCTCGAGCTGGGCCACGCTCCGATGGCCACTTCAACGATATCCAGTAGACGAGACAGTCGGTTGCCAGTCGGTTACGTGACTGCTCAGTCGCGTTAGATGACGATGGTGTGACTTTGATCACCGGACTCTCTGTGTGCCCCAACGACCACTGTTGCAGCAGCAGCAGGGCGCACGTCGCTCGGACGAACGGACGACCGTGGCACCGCGTGCCCTCTCCCGATGTAACCCGTCAACATGTTGCCGCATTAAGAAGAGGATTGGCGTGTCATCCACAGCTTCCGTCAACATCGTGTTGAGGGCCGTGGACGCTTTCTGGATTCCCTGAAGAAGGAGACGAGTTCTTGTACAACCGCGTCGGTCGACTGCACTCGGTTTGCGCTCGTGACCAGCAATGCACAAATGGCTTTGATGGCCGTTATCGGTATGTTGGTCGCCGTTGCGACCGGTTCAAATTGGAATGCTCCATCTTTTGCCAAGAGCCGTGATCCTCGGACGCCTTGGGTCATCATCGGACCAAGGGAATCTGCGCCACCGCGTGCGATGGAGTGTCTTGCCGATGCTCGTCAGTCTCACCATGCTGCTCAACCTAATTGCGATGGTACAGTTCTCTTCCTATGTACGTATATGGACTTGATTTGGGACGGCGTAGCCCATGAAGGCGTACATCTCGGAAGCCTTTCCGAGGACGCCCGTGACGCCCTTTGCATCGTATGGATCGTTCAGCAGCTTCAATACGACAACGCTTCTCGACTTGCAAGCGAGGTACAACTCTGCAACGCTTCCCGTCGGCGCCGTCAACTTTGCCGACGCCAATGAAGGTGCCCAAGTGCTGCGCCAGCTCCTTCGACTCGGCCCATCAATTCCAGAAGACCGTTGCATCTCGGACTTTCTCGTTGGGAAGCCTGGTAGTATCTACTATGGCAGCTCGATCCGGGACTTGCTCTGCGCGTTTGCTGCTGTAAATGACACGACCATGAACGCAGAGCGCTTGAATCGTCGAGGGTCGTGCATGCTAACGTCGGCACCAGGGCTTGTCCTCGGCTACCATTGCATTTGGCTCACGGCCGGCGATGCCATCACGCGGTCGCGTCGAGACAATGATGTCTATACGCTGACCTTTGTCATGGCGACGGCGCCGTACCCCGTGCTGAACTGGACCAAGTTTGTGTACCGCGTCTGCATCACAGTGGGCATTGGGCTGCTGCTTTGGCGCCGCTACTACAAGCACTGCATCGCGCTGCGCCGTCAATTGGCGCGTCTTGGGCACGCCCACGAGCTCCGCTCTGGCGCGTATTCGTATGCGATCTCGATCGGCGATCCGACGGCTGTCGTCCTCTCCAACCCGTGGGTCGCGCTCGCCTTCTTCGTCGACGTCTGGGCGAGCTTTGATACGCTTTCGTTTGCTGTGCTCCGCGGCTCCCAGAACGACGATCTTCTCGAGCTCTTTGTCGCGTTTCTGTATCTCTCCCGCGCGGTACTCGAACTCGCAGCGATGTTGACTCCCACGCCACGTAGGTCTGGCTCGCCTACTTTGGTTTGTCCGTCATGTCGGTATGTCTCAAGCGCTGGCGACAAGAACACCTCTTTCGGGAGGTCGACCCGACCATGGTCGCGCTCGCCGTCACGATCTATGGACCACTGCTCACGTACTTTATGGGCAACTCGGCCTGGCTGCTGCAAGTCTACTGGTACCTTGAAGAGTGCATGGTGCCCACGTCAGCGCGTGGCCAAGAGCTCGTCGTGCTGCTTCCATGTGTGCTTTATACGCTGAGTTTGACGATGGCACCACTGCTGTACGGCCTCGTCAAGGCCATGACAGGTACCATTTCACTGGAATGATTACGTTGGAACTGCATTGCTTGGTGGGCCTAGCTCGCTGGCCCGGTGCCACGAGAAACGACGATCGGTACAGCAGCCTTCGCTTCACGACGGCCAAAACGCGGGCCATCGTCGCTATCTTTCGGCTCTGCCAGCCGCAAGTAGCGGTCTCGGTTCTCAAGCTCGGCGGGACCATCTATGCACTCTTCGACTCGGCGCCGCGCTACAAGGCCAGCCCAACCATAAGCTACGTTGGCACTGATTGCTTTGTGTATTGCTATCGCGACGGCAAGCTCGAGCTGCGGCTGCGGCTCAGCCTCCTCGAGGCGCTCGACGTCCACGCATCGGCCAAGAACGCGCGAAACGCTGTCGACACGAGCGAGGTCTCGCCGTTCACAATGCACGAGCTCGTGCTGCCCATGAGCATCCAGCGCCACGGCGCAAGGAAGATCAAGGTATCGCCGACGCCGGCGCGGCGCGTCCGCCTCCGTCAGCCACGCGAGCCGTCGTCGTCAGTGTGGTGTCTGTGAGCAAACTTCGAATAAAATATCGAAGCATGTGTGCTCCAATCCAAACGGTCGCTTGGGTGACCGAATCGTTCATTTTAACCAATCACAACCGCATTCGATCTTCGATAGATCTCGCGATGAAGGCCGCGAGCGCGTGGTCAGGCCACGCCGGCCTTGGCGTCGTCGCCGCCCTCGCCGCCGCCACGTTCGCCAACACCCTCACCTGTGGCTTTGTCTGGGATGACCGCGCCGCGATCTTGACCAACCGCGACTTGCGCACGGACGAGACGTCCATGTGGGACCTCTGGAGCCACGACTTTTGGGGCATGGCACTCACGTCGCCGACGAGCCACAAGAGCTATCGGCCGCTCACGGTGCTCACGTTTCGAGCCAATTACGCCGTCGGCGGCTACAACCCGATGGGCTACCATCTACTAAATGTCCTTCTGCACGTTGCAGCGTCGGTGCTGGTGGTCGCCGTCGGCCGTCGGGTGGTTGCCCCGTTCGGCGCTTCGCATGCGCCCGTCCTCGCCGGCGCGCTCTTCGCCGTGCATCCGATCCACTGCGACGCAGTCGCGAGCGTTGTTGGCCGCGCCGACGTGCTCTGCACATGTCTCTCGCTGCTGGCGTTTTGCCTCTACGACACGTCCGCGTCGGCCACTTGCACCAACTGGCCGCTTTACGTTGCGAGCCTCGTCTGCGTACTTGCAGGTACTGCAAGTTTCCCTCAACTTCCAGTCGTCGTAGTATCCTCCTATCTATGTAGCAACCTTGTGCAAGGAGCTCGGCGCCACAACACTCGGTATCCTCGTGACGCTCGAGCTCCTACGCGCCGCGCCGCCAGCAACCAAGTCCAAGCGACCATGTCTATCGGCTGGCGTGGTCCGCACAGCGCTGCTTTTCGGTCTTGGCAGCGCCGGGATTACCTCCCGCATCGCGCTCAACGGCAACCAGACGCTCTATGCATGGTCGATCTTTGAGAACGACGTGTCGCTCCTGCCTTGGGGCCTTCCGCGTCTCCTTACCACGCTGCACACGCACGGCTGGTACCTCTACAAGCTCTTCTGGCCGCAGCATCTCTGCTACGACTATGGCTTTCGAACGATCCCGATCATCGCGTCACTCTTTCAAATCGAAAATGTCGGAACGCTGCTCGCCTATGCATCTCTCTTGGTGCTGGTCCGCGTCGCGTTCAAGCGCCGGCAGACGTCGCCGCTGCTTTTGCTCATGTCGTTTGGCCTCTTTCCATTTGTACCGGCCGCCAACCTCTTGTTTCCGGTTGGCACCATCGTCGCCGAGCGACTCATGTACTTTCCCAGCGTCGGCTTTTGCCTCGTCCTGGGGTACGCACTCGAGCAGGCGCTGCGCGTCGCAACGAGATGGCGGTCGTTGCTGCTCGGTTTCTTGTTTCTCTTGCTGCTCATCGTCGGTGCCGCCCGGTCCATCGCCCGCAACGCCGAGTGGTCGTCCGAGACGGAGCTCTTTGAAGCCTCGGTGCTCACGGCACCATGGAGCGTTAAAGTCCTCAGCAACTTGTCCAAAGTACTGCTTGGACCCGATCCGCCGCGGGCCGCCGCGTACCTCGAACGGGCGCTCTCGGTCGCGCCACGCTACGCCGTCGGGCAGTTGAACCTCGGGCTGGCCTACATTGGCATGGGCAAGCCACTGCATGCGATGCAGAACCTCCTCGACTCGATTGACGTCGATCCAAGCCTTGCGGTGCGTGGTCTGCTGGATACGTTGATACATTGATACATATTGAGATTATACCCCACCGTAGGCCTATGCGTACCTGGGCCGGTATGCATCGAGCTTTTACCTCACGTCGCAGCACGAGCAGTTTCCGCGGAGCAACACGACGCATGCGTGCAAGCTCGCGCACCAGCTGCTCGACTACGCGATCGCCCAAGGCGCGAGCATGCCGGGTCTCTTCTTCATGCGCGGTCTCCTTGCCTACTACACGAGCGACTTTGGAACCGCCGTCACGTACGCACACCTTTAGTCCAAGTGCGGATGGCTACATGATGCGCGTAGGAACTTTCGCGCAACCGTGCACGCCAACGACGCCGTGCGCCATCGAGGCTACGACTTGGAAGAGCTCGTGACGCCGTGCGCCGCGCGCAACATGCTCGCCTTGTCGCTGGACGAAAACGGCGACGAGGATGGCGCCTTGGACGTGTACATGGAGTACATTGACGCGCAGCCCCCGTGCCTCGAGATCTACAACAACGCAGCGATACGCCTGCGCAATCGCGGTCGGCTCGACGAAGCGGCGCAGCTTCTCACGTCGGGCTTGCAGCACTATCCTAACGCGGTGATTCTGTTGCTGAATGCGGCGCAGGTCGCCGAAGACCGTGGCAACGACGTCGAAGCGTACTCGCTCTACCTCAAGGGCCTGGCCATCGACCCGACCAACGAATCGCTGCTGGCCAAGTACGCCAACCTTGCGCCAAAGCTCGCCAAGCCGCTGCAGTCGATCACCGTGGCACCGCAGCCCATGGCTGCCTAGTAGAGCGCGTCGAGCACAGAGAGGCTAGTAATAACCGCACGTAGTAGTACATCTGCACACACCCATGATGCGCATGGAGCAAGCTGGCCGGCGAGGCGAGCGCGATCTGCGGCTGTGCCACATCGCCTGTTCACGAATCGAATTGGATCTGCGAGATGGATATATTGACCCCCTACCTGAACGGCCAGTGCTGGGTCCCATGCAGGGTCCCACGCATGGATATTAAAAAAATATACACTGTGTTTTTGAATCGCAATGGCGCTAAAATATTTTGGCCTTGAATGGGTAGGACCCGGGTCCAGCGTAAATTGGGGTACCCATATCCAATGGTAATGCAACACAAGCCCATTCCCGGTCGCCACCATACTTCGTCCTTCGTCGGTTCCCCGCTACCTCCGCGCCATGTCGACCTCTGCCCGTAGCCCGCTGCGCCTCCGCGCCGCCGATGACATGCACCATCACCTGCGCGACGGCGCGGCCCTCAAGCTCACGGTTGAGCAGGCGTCGGCGCAGTTCCGTCGCGTCGTGGTCATGCCCAACCTCGTGCCGCCGGTCACGACCGCCGAGAAGGCAATCGCGTACCGCGAGCGCATCCTTGCGCATGTGCCCGCGGGCCGCGCCTTTGAGCCGCTCATGACGCTGTACATGACCGATGGCACGACGCCCGAGACGATCCGCGCGGCCAAGGCGTCGGGTGTCGTCCACGCCGTCAAGTACTACCCCGGTACGCATGCCCTCGGTCATCCTTCTCCTAGACTCCGTGTGGCGTAGCTGGCGCGACGACCAACTCGGACTCGGGCGTCACCAAGATCGACAACATCTACCCCGTGCTCGAGACCATGGCGGAGATTGGCATGCCGCTGCTCGTCCACGGCGAGGTGACGGACCAGACCGTCGACATCTTTGACCGCGAAGCCGCGTTCATCGAGTCGGTGTTGAAGCCGCTCATTGCGCGCTTCCCGCGCCTCAAGCTTGTCATGGAGCACATTACGACCGCCGACGCTGTCAAGTTTGTGTCCGAGGCGCCCGCGAACGTCGGCGCAACCATCACGTGCCACCACTTGCTGTACAACCGCAACGGTACCTCATCGTCGATGCATGGTAGACATCTTAGTGTCGGATCTAGCCATCTTCCAGGGCGGTCTTCGCCCGCACAAGTACTGCCTTCCGGTGCTGAAGCGGGAGACGCACCGCCTTGCGCTGCTTGACGCGATTAAAAGCGGCAGCCCCAAGTTCTCCTTGGCACGGACAGCGCGCCGCACATTGTCGAGAAGAAGCACTCGGGCTGCGGTAGGATCTTCTTCGTATTACCCCTGCAAGGCTCACGTCCATGGACTAGGCTGCGCGGGCATCCATACGGCCCACGCGGCGCTCGAGCTCTACGCCGAAGCGTTTGACGCCGCCGGCTGTCTCCCGCATTTCGAGGTACCTCCACGCGACGATCCATACAGAACCGACAGGATATGGATACCGGTAGAAATTTTGCTCGGAGAACGGCGCGCGCTTCTACGGCCTGCCGCTCAACGACGGCAGCGTGACGCTGGCGCCGACGACGTGGACGGTCCCGGAGTCGTACGCCTTTGACTCGAGCGCCGTCGTGCCGCTCCGCGCTGGCGAAACCATTGCGTGGAAGAAGGCCGACTAAGTCCTACCATCCATCGATTCCACGTCTTCTACGTTGCCTGCTCGAGTCTTCTGGCGTCGGAGTGCATACTACATATATGTATGTATGGGGAATGCGATGTCGACGGCTGTCAGGAGTCCTGCGTCGGCGAAAGGTCATGTTTGGGAGACTTGCGAGCCGGCGTGAACCACGAGGCGCTCATCGTTGGGGCTGTTGCACGCAGTGTGTCCGTCGCAGGATGGCGTCGTCTCTAGTTCGTAGAAAGCAGACGTGCGGATGAGGTGGCCACTGGGTCTGCCCATGGGCATGATGCGTGGGACATAATGCAACGAGGGCCACTTGCCATCGAGGTCGGTCTGGCCCGACTACGACCTTTTGCTCAGGCAGGTTCGAGCCCCCGACCTCCCTCATCTCACGTTGGATACAACGATCGTTTGCGCCGTCGAGACCCAAGCCACCACGCGGACGTGATTGACATGGGCGACTCAGTCTAGAGGCAACCGACGATGTTGGTTGGACCAGAAGACACCATTTCTGCATGACATCAAGCGAGTTGTCCGTGATGACGAGCTTCCGTTCCCCACTGCCAAGTACGAGTGAATCATTGCGGCCACTTCAAACCCAGGATTGTATTTCGCGCCATTTTTCCATATTTTTTGAGTTGGAACCATGGCAACATCCGGTAGCGTCGAGTTGGAAGGAGACGATCATGCGCACGGTTGCTTTATTGTCGCATGCTGCAGACGTCACAAAGACGTGAACCGTGGTTTCGATCCGTCTCCGCTTCGAGAGCTTTCGAGAGCGCAGCGTGCCAGAGACGCTGCCACGTAGTGGGATTGGATGGGTTTAACCTTGCACTGCAGCGATTCGCTCGTCGGGGCGGGGATTGGCTGCTTGCCAGGATCGCGGTCTCGGATTGGTGCGAGTCCGACCAATGAAACGCGGCGACACAGATCCAACCTTGACGAATGATGTGATCTCGAACCTTCCGCTACCGACGACGAGCTTGGTGCCATGCCACTCACAACGCAATTCCCTCGAAAAGACCCAAGCACTGTAGCATGACCCACTACCTCTACTTCCCCGCGCCGATGCTCGCGCCATGGGACATTGTCCGCCCGCGCCACTGGTACCCGCACATGAACCTCGAGCAGTCGCTCATGGACTTGGAGCTGGCCGAGTTCGCGAGCGCCATGTTCCCGCCGCGCAGCACCAGCTTGCTCCCGACGCCGACGAGCGACGACGCGTTCTTCGCCGACTTGCCGATTGGCGCCAATCCCGCCGCTGCGATCCGCGCCGACGACACGGAGGCCATGCATACGCGCGCGTGCTCCAACTATTCGTTTTCGACCGCGTCGGTGATTGACGAGAAGGGCCGACGCGTGTCGAGCATCCGCCGCCGCTACGAGGACTCGGACGGCCGTCTCAAGGCGGTGCACGAGCGCGAAGTCGACGGCAAGCGCTTCGTCACCAAGTGGTCCAAGCAGAACAAGGAGGACAAGGGCGAGCACGTGACGCAGCTCTCGGACGGCATCGACAAGGCGGGTTTCGAAGCCCTCTGGGCCGAGACTCCGTTCCACAAGGCCCACGCCAAGCAAGCGGCCAAGGACAAGCTCGAGGCCAACGAAGACAAGACGGCGCTTGAGGATGCGGAACCCGAGGCGCCAACGGCCTAGGTCGTCGTCGATTGTGTGTATGGTCCCATCGCACCATCTTAGTATTGTTGATAACGTGGCCTGTGTGCATGATACGTCCTCGTCTCGTCAATGTTGTGATGCAGCTTCCAAGGCGGTGCGGAATGAAGTTCTATCTCGAGCGGCGAAGCTTGGAGAGCATATGCCTGAATGGAGCTCTGGTTAAAGCCAGGGACAGGAATGTAGCCTTGCAACTCACCAGAAGCAAGTATTCGCCCATGGCCACCAGCGCATGACAAGCCGTACGGAGGCTCGAGTACGTGGTGCTGGACATGAACTGCCGCTTCCAAGTGGGATCACCGGCCTACCGACGCTCGTCATCGCGTGGCTTCCACTTGTCAAAGTACGCGAGACGGAATCAAAAGAGCAACCTCACGGCTTGGACATCTGCGACGCGTTGAGCACAAAAGCTGGGCCGAGTTTGTGTGTGTTGGCCACAAGCTCCACGTTCCCTTCGTCGGCTGCCGGCACATGACGAGGCTGCGTCGTCGCGGTTGCTGACGGTCTTGGCCATGTCAGGAGTCTTCTCGATGACGCCTATGGCGTAGTGGAAAATCTCGGAGATGGTCTTGCGATCAAATACTCTCTTGGCCACGTTGACTTTGCTCCACGCATCAAGAAGGTACACCGCATCTTGCGCGAGGCGCGAGCTGACCGGCATCGTCGCCGTCATTGCCTGACTGCATCTCGCCCAGGCCGCAAGCAAGTACGCGCGCCAGCTTCATCTTGGCGCTCACCTTTATGAGGTTTCCTCATGCTCGTGCCAGACGAGAAAGAAAGGATTTCGGTCTTGCTGGCTCGGTCGTCTGTGATTTTAGTGCGCTTGTCCATTGGCTTTCGAACCGGCTTTGCAAGTAGAAACACGCTGTTCAGTGAGGCGCGTTGTTTTTGTCTTTGTCAGGACGAGCTTCCACTTGCTGCACTTTGAGTGACGCATCTGATCGGACCACGTGGTACCGGCTCGGGCGCTCGAGAAGCGCTGTATGAAGCAATCGATCCGGGCTCCTGCGCACTAGTGCTGTCCATTGAGAGCACCGATTGCTGGCGACATGACGTTTTGGACCTCTTGCTTGTTGCACAGACTGCACAGATAGCGGCCGCGCAATCTGGCTGCAATGGCTAGCACGAAAGCCTTGTGGCGATCGTCCAATTGTGAATTGGATGCAGGCCGATGGGCGAAATGCTAGCAACACAAGATTTGCGATGACGCTCGAGATGGAGGCCACATATTGCCACACGCTGACCAGGACGTAAATCGCACTCTTGGATGGCTCACGCAGCACATCGGAATTTCTTACATGCATTTGGATGGCGCCATGCAAAGCTGTAGTCTGAGCGCTACACGACCCGAGCGCCGATAATTTCAACCTGCACCAGAGAATGTATACCCTGCACTTGGGCAGCTCAAAATTCGCTGGGACGGCGTTCGCCCCACGTGAACGTTGCTGGCCTCAGCAATCGTGAGCTCACGCGCTGTGTTGGCTTGACGTTGGATCCACATGGACTCGCGAAAGCTTGCGAGGCCAAGTGTAGGAGCACCGTCATTGCAGCGCGACAAGACGGGCGCTCCTCAAGTAAAGTTGCCCCCAAAGCGTCCTTGCGGGACCGATATCGCTGATGCGCACTCGGTGCTTGTGTCCATCACGGCCTCGTGTCTTACACTGCGCTCGCGTGGTCTCGCTAGCTGTTGGCAGGCGTTGCCGGGCGTTGGTTTGTACGGGCTCCTCGTGCTCGGTCGTGGTTGGCTCGGCTTCTCGGCAGTGACAGCCACCCAGGCCTTCCGTTGGTTCTTCGTGAATGCAAACACCCGTGGTCGCTGCTAGTGTTTCCGTGCTGCCACTGACTGCCATCGCCACGGTGGCCGTCGGTCTTGCTCGCCATGTCGACGCTTGGCGTTGGCGCGCTGCCATTCTGATGCCATACAAAATGGCATCGGACAGCCACTTTGCGATGAATGCCTCCCATCCAAATTGCAAGTTGAGATTCCTCATGCACCCGGAGAGGAATTTCGGATGGCACCGCAACCCATACAAGTACCAAGTCAAACCATTGTCAGCCATGTAGCAAAGCTCCGAGTTGCGGAGCTAAAAGTTGCGCTGGGGGTTAAGGACCCGATTGACATCAGCGTCTCGGTCTAGATGCAAACGACAATGCTGGTTGGACCAGAAGATACCATTTCTGCATGAATCGAAGCGAGTTGGCTGTGATGATGAGCTTGCGTTCCCCACTGCCAAGTATATGGGAATCGTTGCGGCCACTTCAAACCCCGGATATTCTTTCGCGCCATTTTCATATTTCTGGTGTTGGAACGAAGGAAGCATCCGGTAGCGTCGAGTTGGAAGGAGACGCTCTCCTACCTCCGCTGTCTAAATCAAGTTCCTCAACCGAGTGCACACAACGAAAAAAGTCTCACATCTATATTTTAGCATAGTTTTCTCTCAAGTAATAGACGACGCACTTCAACAACAACGATGGAAACATCCGGTAGCGTCGAGTTGGAAGGAGACGATCATGCGCACGGGTTGCTTTATTGTCGCATGCAGCAGACGTCACAAAGACGTGAGCCTCGGGCTACCGTGGTTTTGATCCCTCTCCGCTTCGAGAGCTTTCGAGTGCGCAGCGTGCCAGAGACGCTGCCACGTATTGGGATTGGATGGGTTTAACCTTGCACTGCAGCGATTCGCTCGTCGGGGCGGGGATTGGCTGCTTGCCAGGATCGCGGTCTCGGATTGGTGAGAGCCCGACCAATGAAACGCGGCGACACAGATCCAAGCCTGAGGACGGCTGCGATCTCGAATCTTCCGCTAACGATAACGAGCTTGGTGCCATGCCATTCACAACGCAATTCCCTCGAAAAGACCCAAGCACTTTAGCATGACTCACTACCTCTACTTTCCCGCGCCGATGCTCGCGCCATGGGACATTGTCCGCCCGCGCCACTGGTACCCGCACATGAACCTCGAGCAGTCGCTCATGGACTTGGAGCTGGCCGAGTTGGCGAGCGCCATGTTCCCGCCGCGCAGCACCAGCTTGCTCCCGACGCCGACGAGCGACGACGCGTTCTTCGCCGACTTGCCGATTGGCGCCAATCCCGCCGCTGCGATCCGCGCC